CCTGATCCCTGTCTTGTGAGGGATGTCACAGAATTCACAGAATCACAGAATTCACAGAATCACAGAATTCACAGAATTCACAGAATTCACAGAATTCACAGAATGACCAGGTTGGAAGAGACCTTCAGGATCATCAAGTCCAACCCAGCCCCAACCCCTCAACTCAACCCTGGCACCCAGAGCCACATCCAGGCTTTGTTAAACACACCCAGGGATGGGGACTCCACCTGGGCAGCCATTCCAGAACTTTATCACTCCTTCAGTAAAAAAATTTCTCCAAATACCCAACCTGTATTTCCCTTGGTGCAGCTCGAGGCTGTGTCCTCTGGTTCTGTTGGTTCCTGGAGACAGAGCCCAGCCCCAACTGAGCACAGCCACCCTTCAGGAGCTGTACAGAGTGATGAGGTTCTCCCTTCCACCCCTGCAGCAGAATGGAGATGTGCTCCTGCAGCTCTGGAATCCCGGGAAGTTGTGCTGGTGTGGATCCAGCGTGGGCAGGAATTGGGTCCTCACTCGTGCTGGGTCAGGGGGAAAAAACAACACCAAATCCCCCCTGCCCTGGGTCGGACAGAAGGCTCACAAAGTCTGCATCTGTACCCAAACTCTGAGATAAGAAATGCTGATTTAGAAATGCTGATTTGGAACAGTGTTGGAATCTGAGGTATTGATGATTCTGAGATTGTAAAAGTCTCTGTCTGTCAGCCCCCTGCCAAAGCAGAAGCCATAATTGGTCTGTGCTGGTTTCCAGGTTGTTTATTCTGTTTATCTCTCACATGTTCTGCTGCCCTGCCCAGCTCTGTCCTGCAGGGCAGCGTGTGGGGCTCTGCCCTCAGTGGGATGTGACAAACATTAAATACCAGAAACTCCCTGGGCTGCATTGACAAGAACGTGCCAATATCTGTCACCTACGTTGGACAGTGTGTCCCCAGCCTGAACCAACAGAAAAATGCCAACACCACAGTGAGACATGGAGGGCAGGAAGAAGGAGAAAAAGGACAAGGCACACCCAATTTCCTCCAGCTTGTCCCCTTCGGACCCCTCATCTAGAATCCTAAAATTTTACTTTTGCACCCATGCCACACTTAATTATTACTGATATCAAACACTCTGAGCTTGTAATTGATCCTGTAAGATTGAAAACTCTTTTGCATGGCCAGAGATCACAGCCAGTGTCTCTGGGGGCTCTGTCCAGGGGGTTCCTGACCCCTGCCAGGGTCCCAGACCTGCCAGGGCAGCCAGAGGGAAGCCCTGGACTCCCACAGAACAGGACAGACATTGCTGAGAAGGAAATGGAGCTAGAAACAAGTTTCAAAGGATGGCTTTGCAAATAGGACTGAATACTTTGGAGAAACAGAACCATGAAAGATGAATTGTAGCAGGATCCAGGAAGGGTAATTTTAGATTATTGTCTTTAAGGCATTTATAGCATGGTGTGGCTAAAGCTGATAGGCCAAGAAACACTTACAGTGTATTGTAATTAGGAAATAATTAGCTTCTGATTGTGCTGGTGTGAATTATAGCATCTGTATTGTCTCACCCTTCACGTGAGCCTGAAAATGGAATAGAAGTTTTTAAAACGCCTCTCAGCTGCCCCATCTCTGGGTCAAAAACCAGCCAAATCTGACAAATCAGTACTCCTGGTGCCCAGACACAGCACTCAAATGGCACAGACAGGAGCCAGGGCAGGAAAGGGGCAGGAGGGATGCCCTTGGGGCCATGGGAAGTGCCAGGTGGCCCCTGGGCTGTGGCTGCCAGAGCCAGGCATGGGGCACTCCCCCCAGGACCGACCCCACTGCCACATCCCATCCCACGGCACATCCCAGAGGTGTGCCAGGCAAGCTGCAACAGCCTGAGAGCTGACAGGGACCTCAAGAAGTCTCTTGCGATGTCCTTTGAACTGCTCTGTGCTCCAGGCATTCACTGACAAGTTATTTAACCCATGGCAGGGTGGGAATTTGGGGGGCATGATTTGCATTAAAGTTCTTGCTGGTGAATTCCTGAGCTGGTCAGCTCTGCTTTGCCTCTGGTGCACTCTCCCAGCCCCTGAAGCCCAGGAAGGCACAAAAATAACTCATTTCTCATGGAAGCCCACTCCTTGCTGTACTCACACCCAGTCAGGGCTGCAATGAACAGTCCTGGGGAAGGATTTTGGCTCCCAGCTTTTATTTCCTGAGTGGCTGAAATAATCTGGACCAGGAGGAACACAGGGTGTTTGTCCTCCGTGTTCTGCAAGGTGAGGTGTATGTGAGCAGATGGTTTTTGAAAAGCTCATCAATGCTTGATGGTTTCTTCTCTGGTACAACTTGCTTCCATGGCCCATGAACTGTAATAATTAGAGATCTTTTAAACCCTGCTCTAAAACTCCTAGGATCCATAATGAATTATTAAATGAAAAATCTGCTTTTCTTTCTGTTCATTTAGTTAATCTGGGTTTTTTATTTGATATTGCTCAAATTTTTCTATTCAAACTTTTCTAATTTCTATGTACTGAGAGATTTAGACATAATAAGTGAGGAGACAGCTAAACGAGACAGTTTTGGGCTCATCAGCCCTGGACCTGTCCTAGGATGTTAGAGCAAGACTTTGGGAACACTTTGCTAAATGTTCATGAAATGTCAGGTTCAGAGGGATCTGTATAAGTAATTGGAAATTGATTTCATGACACTTTGATACTGAGCTCACCAGTGGCAGCTGTTGCTTTACACTTCAGTGTGGATGGAAGAAATTCTTCCCTGGGAGGGTGGCAGGCCCTGGCACAGTTTCCCAGAGCAGCTGTGGCTGCCCCTGGATCCCTGGCAGTGCCCAGGGCCAGGCTGGGCAGGGCTGGGAGCAGCCCATGGCAGGGGGTTGATTTAGATGGGCTTTTCTGTCCCTTCCAACCTAAACCATTCTGTGCTTCTGTGAGCTCCTTTTAAATTTCCTCACAGCAAAACGACTCAAACATCAGCAGCACGTCCTTGCTCCTGGATGCACTTTAAATAAAATCAGCCAGGCTCCCCAGAATTACCTCATATTTCCCTGGGATCCCAGAGCCTTAAAGTAATGAAATGAAAAATTATGAGAGCAGAACCAACTTCCTGTTTGGAAAGAATAAATCGGTGTCTGTGCCTTTGTCTCATGACTGACCCAGCACTCAGGTGCAAAGAGCAGGGGGAGGATCTGGAGCAGCTCCTAAATCCATCTGCAAGAGGTGCCTGGGAACTTCACCAGGAGCTGGGAACTGAAACCTCTGCCCACGGGACTGCAGCAATTTCCCATCCTTGCCTCGCTTTGTGATGCTGAATTCTGGGAAGAGAGCCTGCTCCTGGAGTGCTTCGTGCTGTGATTCCAGCACTGCTGCTCTGAGTGCTCCTTGGGGGCTGAGATTTTGGGAAAAGCCTCTTTGCCTGTCCTACTCCCAGCCTCAGCCCCACAGCAGTGTCCTGCTCCTGCCTGGGCCAGGGAAGGCTCAGTGAGGTGCTCAGTAGGTGGTCAGCAAGGCAGGTCCTTCAGGCTCTGTTTTCCCTCTGCTCCAGCTCCCTGCCTCATTTCCAGGTGTTTTCTCACACATATCCTCAGGTATATATTCAGAAAAGAATATATTCAATTTGTGTTGAACCTTCCCCTCCCAGACACAGCAGGGGTTCTTCATAATGACAATGTGTTATAGGGTACCTGGATTCATTTCTAGACTGAGAAACACTGTCCTCAGCCCACAGAAGCTTTCATGTTTTCTGTTCTTACCCCTGTCGTGGAAAAAGAATTTTTCTGGAAGGAAGAGGTCCATTTGGATATTGACCAACTGAAGGTGGACACGCCTCTGAGAACACAGATCGTGTCTCACTGTGGTTTGTTGGAGTTGGGTGGTGGGAGGAGGAATGCTTTGCAAGGTTTTCATTTTGATCTTTGTGTGCTTTTTTTTTTCCTTTTTCCTTTCTTTCTTTCTTTTGTAGTAGTAGCTTAATAAAGTTTTTTTTCTGTTATTAAGCTTGGGCCTGCTTTGCTCTGTTCTGGATTCCGTTTCACAGCATTCAATGGAGAGATTACATTTTCATGGGGACGCTGGCATTGTGCCAGTGTCAAACCATGACACCCCCTGCACAAACATTCCTGTTCTCTGGGCAGTTTGCCACGCACACACACAATGTTCTGCTTCCCTGTGTTGCTGTTTCTGTGTAAACCACGCCATCTCCCTCGGAACCTGTAAAAGCTCTTTGCTGTGTGCTGCTGAATTTGCTGTGTTTATGGAGGGCCAGATCCAGCCCTGTGAGCAGGTAAATACTGCTCTGTTTCTCCAAATTCCAAGATTTCCTGAGGGTGACCATCAGGCTGACACCTCTTTGCAGCTCTCCCCTGCCTTTTCCTGTCACAGCTGCAGAAAATCCTCTGAGCCAGCTCCTGTAACACATTTAAAATCCCATTTTTTCGTTCGTGCAGTATTTTGATCACCTGTTTTGGCTGCTGAGCTGTGGGAGAGGCACGGGCAGCCCTTAGGGAGAGGCTGGAAACTCTCCAAGCTGGTGATTTCTCTGCCTGGGTGCAGTGCAGATGCTGAGCAGAGCTGCTGGGACATTGCTGCTGCCAAGCCATGGCACTGCAGAGCCCAGGGCTGAGCTCTCCCTGCTCCTCCCTGCAGCTGAGCCACCTGCCCCTGCAGCCAGCACACAATTCATTGGCTGCCCCTGCAATTAGGCAATTCTCTTAATTGCCTTCATTTCCAGGCCTCTCTCCTTCTGCCCCTGCACTGCTGGTGGCACAGATATTTATGTGCTGGTTGGGGAAAAATAACCCTGAAGGGTTGGGCAGCAAAGCAATCAAAGGCAGGGACAGAGACCTCTCTGAGATAATTGCATCCAGATTTCCAAATCTCCTGTCAGCTCCCACAGGTCTCCCCCTCCTGTGGCTTTGCTTTGAGGAGCCTCTATGAGCAACAGGACATCCCCAAAAAATGCCAGCAGCGAGAGAAAAATCTCCTTTTTTTTTTTTTCATGATTTCCCTCCCCAGTGCTCTCTGGCCATACCAAACTCCAAAGCAAGATATTTTTTAATTATTAGGCTCAAAGTGATTGGGGTGGCTCAGCTTCTGCCATGTACAAAGCTCGTTAAAGAGCACTTGGACATTGGTGGGGCTTTTTATTCAGCTGTGGGATTTGTTTTCCTTTTCTTTGGGTGTCCATCCCCTGTGTCATTTCTCACAATGAGCCTGGGGTCTGAGCTTGGCTGTGCTCTAATGAAATGCAGTGGGAGTCAATAATTGTGAGTTGCTGTTGACACAGAGTTGCTAAATGAGAAAATCACACGCTGTTTTTAATACACCAAACTCATGATATCCTGTATAACATTATGTCTTATTTACATACCATACCCATACTTATTTGGTATCACAAGTGCACTCAAAAATGTTTTATTTCTGTTTCAATATCTCTTTGACCAGTAAAAAAAAAAAAAAAAACAAAAAAGAAACTTCCATAACCAGGATTTACAGTCTCTTTTAAGCAAGGTGGTTGTAGCACAATTGTGATCCTACAAAAATACTGTGCTAGAGTAGAGTACACATTCTGTAAAAAAACTTGACATCAGGGGGTGAGCAGTCCTCTGGCAGTTTTGGGATGCCATCCAGTATTTTCAGGTTTGGCAAATTGGAGAACACACTTAAAGAGAGACAAAAGAAAAATAGAAATTGAGAAAAATAATATTGGGAAATGTTGAGGACAAAACAGACACTGATAAAAAAGAAACAGTGGATTCAAATGTATCTAAAATAGATTTGGGTTGTTGGAAATCTTGATTTGTCATTTGTTGCAGAATTTCTCTGATAAAGAGCTAATTAAAACTCTAAGATTTTGCTTTATTGCACCACTTTTATATCCTCAGACTCAATAGAACACCTCAAGAACCTGTCTTCCAACAATGACAATGAACATAATACCACAGTTATACCAAATAGTACCAATATTTAATTGCCCCAAGAACTGGGAGATTGAGAGCAGAAACACAATTAGGAACTGTTAAAAGGTGATTTCTGCTTTTGTTCTCCTGGACTTGTAGATATGCAAATAAAAGGCGAAATCCATCATTTAAAATGTGCTTTTCCCCTTCCATGCTGATATCTGCCTCCCTGCCTTCATCAGCACCACACTGCCAAAGGGATGCCCACAACACTAAAGGAAAAACATACTGGAAACTCAGAAAGGTTTCAATTAAACTCTTCTTTTAAACTTTTATTTTTTCCCTCTCCCAGGAAGGATGGGAGGAGATGTGTCCCATTTCAGACACACCCTGCAAGGTTTGTCTCCACAATATCAGCACCTGGCTGTGTTTGTAGTGGGGCAAAACATGCAGCATGCAGATTTGCTAAGAGTGAGGCTTAGAATAGATGATATTCTCCTGAATTTTCTTGGATTGTAATGCCTTGGGTTGGAGTTTCCATTTCCAGTATCTGAGGCTGCTCTGTTAAATCTCCAGCCCATCCCAAAGGCTGCAGCACAAATTGCACTGAGGGGCTGCTCAAGGCAGAGCAGCTTCCACAGGGACAGGGGGAATCCAGGAAAATCAAATGAAGGGAGCTTCATTTTCTCCTGCTCTTGCTCCCATTTTTCAAGGCATCCTCCTGATTCCATCTCTGACATGTAATGCAATTCAGGCCCCGTGCAGAACCCACCAAGGATGCAATGAGACTGAAGAGAGTTTGAGTAATAGGTAGTTTCTATTAATAAAAGGGAATCTAATTTATCTGCCCTGCTCGCTGTCTCTAAACTTGATCCATGGGCTTAGTTCAGTTCCAGAACTGCCAGTCATGCCATTAAGAAGCATCATAGGCACTTTCTGAATATTTGGGGGCTTTTATCACATAAAAGCTCACTAACCCATGCTCCTGAAGCATTTCAGAGCATTAAAACTACAGGGAAATGAAAAGCTTCTTTAGAAAGCTTTTTGGATTTCAGATCCCATGCCTTTGAAACTCTGACAAACATTTTTTTTGTGTTTATCAGTTTTGTTAGCCACGAGAGTGCTGGACTTACAGCTGTCTGTATCTTTCCTGGAACTCACAGGGATTCCTCTTGAGGACCAGGGATTCAAGTGGAGTGTGTCTGAAGTCTGAAATCCCACTCAGGGTCGTGATGTTATTTTCAGCGAGAGATAAGTGCTGAATCTGAGGGATCTTTGGCAGCTGTTTGAAGGATGTAAAGTGGTTTTTATTTACATTTAGCTCTCTGCATCTGTAAAGTACAAAGTGTATGCCATCACTATCACATCTGGGACAGAATCCCTACAACAGGGATGGGTTTTTTACACTGGTTTCACATTTTGGGCTGCTTTTGCCTGGTCATGGACTGCCAGATCGGACCCACACACTTTATATTCCCTTAATTCTTTATATTGTACAACAGATGCATCATTATTTCTGTTCTCAGTACTACAACTCTCCATACATCTAAATACACAACAGCAGAGTAGCAACAGATGGATGGTAAAGGAAATTTATAGTTGTCATGGTCACACTTGGCCTCTCTGCTTGGGTTGTGTTCACAGAGATTCCTTCTGGGTAAAACAGCTTCCCCTTTTGGCACAGATCACTCTCAAGCTGGCTGGGCTCATTAATTATTCCCCAGGAATAAATAATAAAGGGGACATGGTCTGATCTCCTCCCTGGGGATTTTCAGCCTGGGGATGAACTCAGAGCAGCAATAAACTGATGGATGCTCAATCCAACACCCCCAAGAGCAGCTCTCAAGAGCCTGCTCCAGCTGCCACTTCAGTAAAATGTTGGTTTCTGGGATATTACATAAAATAGATCACATAAAAACAGCAGCAGGACACTTTGTCTACCTTGGCAACCTTATGGCACTGAGGTCTGTCAAAGAATTGTCCACCAACCAAAGCTTTTCCACCCGAATTAACCTTCGGAGGATTCTTTTGAAGTTTTCCACCTGATAAAGATCACCCAGGTCCTGGAAGGAAAGGTTCAACTCCTGGAAAGGAAAAAAATAAGACAAATCACTTTTTTTTTTCCCACCCTTCCTTTCTAATAGCTATATAATTCAATATAGAATTAGTCAGAGGTAGTTAAAATGAGAATACATTTTATGCTGCTGCTCTTATAACAATTGGGGGTACCAAGTGCCAAATCCACCTCAGAATCATAGTGATGGACCCCTTAATTCTTTGAAAGGAAGAAAGAAACCATTCTCAAGCACTAATTTTAGTGTCCATCTCCTCCTTCCTCTGTGAGTGGGGTTACCAGTGTAGGTGAGTGAGCAGGGCTGAGTGATTGTGGCTTCTTGATTTGGCCTGTAAACTCAGCTGACACCAAAATTCTGTGCAGCAGCCAGATATAAACATTCACAGAGTCCTCACAGAATGGTCTGGGTTGGCAGGGAATTCAAAATTCTTCCAATTCCACCCCACTGCCATAGCCAGGGACGCCTTCCTTACAACAGGTTTAAATCTATTAAATGCAGTGAGCAGCCAGCACATGATTATTTGATTTCTTTACAACTACAGTTCAAAGTGTTAATGAGAAAGTTTTACAGCACAGTTTTCCCAGTTCTCTTGCAGCCTCTTTTCCCATTTCTCTGGGTCAGTTACTTGTTTTCTTCTTTTCAGAGTATGTTCTTCTTTTCTGAAAAACAGCTCTTCTTCTGAGGGCCCTGGTCAGAGAAAAAGATTTACAGCTGGGGATGTGATACAGAACTGGCACTTAGTCACTTGCTGGAAGAATATATATATATATATATTGCTGGGAAGGTTCTGTAATGAAGAAATATATATAATATTACAGGTGTGTTACTTTAAAGGCTTCTGAGATTTAAATTAATGGGAAGACTTTTCTACCATTTCCAGGCCCGTAATTCAGCCAGCAATCTACAGATTTTGTGCATGGTTGGTAAATGACAGATCTGCTCCAGATCAGAATGAAAACTATTTCTGAAGGGTTGTTCATAAGGATCTGAGTGCTAAAATCCTTCTTATTCCTTGCCATGCTGTGAGCTAGCCTTTGATTTTCCCCAAAAAGGAAAATGTTTGCAGCTTCCAGAGCAGCGCCAAGGACCAACAGCCCCACTCCAAACCTCATTTGTATTGAGACAGACACACATTGGAGACTTTAAGTCTTAAAGAAAAGTTTAGAGCTATGAACATCTTCAAATTCCTGATTAAAGCAAGGACTGGCTGGAAATTTTCCACTGTTTACTCCCAAACATGCAAATACTGGATTTTAAAACCCATCTGTTCTTGTGTGTGTCTGTAGATTGCAATTGAGCCAATTTAGTCTTAAAATATAATAAATGTGCCACTGTTTGCAGGACTGGGTTGGTTTGGCTGTTTGGCACGTGGCTACTGTGTTCTGAACAGCCAAATGTTAATGAACTTCTCAGAGAAGTAATCAGCAGCACATTAATACTAAAAATTTTCAATTTCCAGTTCAGGCAGTTGCTTTTCATTTTGGAAATCACAAAGGATAATTCGCTAATGATTAAAAATAAAGCAAGCGTGGGAACTGTGAGCTGAAATCCTGCCCCTTTTCAAAGGAATGGCAAACTCCACGATTTCAGCTCATCACTTTTAAGGGTGCCCTCTTTGCCTCCGTGGAGATAGGGCTGAAATGTCAAAGTGTCTTTTTGATCTTTACCTTCCCTGACTCGGGGACAGAGGAGCTGATTTCCTCGAACACCGTGTTCCTCTATGTCACACCAGCCAAGGTACTTGAAGGAGTCAGAAGGAAGCTTAAAAGAAAGGCAAAATAAAGATATAAAAGAATCAGTAGAAGCTCTCGAGGGGTTGGCACTGCATTTTCTCTTATTTCTGGCCTTATTACAGCAGAAATCCCCCCAGTCAGAGCCATATGCAGGAGCTGGTAAATGCTGTGGGAATTCACAGCTCATCCTGGTTAACTCCAATAAATTGGCTCCAATATTGGAGAGAGCCTGCTCAGGGCTCATTATCCCCCTGCCCATGGCAGCAGTTTGGTGCTCAAACTGCTCAAATCCCCTGCCACAGCTGACCCCAAAAAGCAGAACCTTATTTAAATTCCACCCCAGTTTTGGAGGATAAAAGGAGGGAAACAAAATCCACTTCAAAGCTGAGGAAGAGATTTGCACCTTAACTCCTCCGTGTCACTGTCTCCTCTTTACAAACCTGCAAGCAGACTGGGAAACCCAACACTTACTGGGAAACCCAACACTTACACTTACTGGGAAACCCAACACTTACTGGGAAAGGGAGCCTGGGGTCCCAGTTCTGCCCGAGGGCTCCTCTGTTTTGGGGTAAAACCAGTGGAGTATCGTGTGCATCCCTCAGGATGGAGCAGCAGGAGGAATAAGACTTTAAGAATTTCTGATTGCTTGTAGTCAGACCTGAGGAACTGGAGAGGAGATGTTAAGCCAGCGTAGATTCTGCCCAGAGAAATACAAATTTTATTTGGCTTGTTTAATAATTACAGAAAATACAGAATAGCTCAGGTTAGGATTTGCCAGCAGGCAACAAACACATCCTGAGGCCAAAGCATGGGCAGCCCCTCACCTGAGCTGCATTTCCTGACACACAGGAGCTTTTCACAGCTGTGACAAACACCAGAAAGAGGAATTTACTGGCAGCTTGTTAAAAAACATGAGACTTGGAGGAAATTGAGAGCTGATCACGTTCAACAGCATGATGTGCTTGCTCCCTTCTACCCAGGAGAGCCCTGCTTTTCTGGATCTGGATTGGATGAAAAGATACCTCAGTTATTTATTTTATTCCATTGTACATGTGGTTCAACTCATTATTTTACTAATATTAGTATATTTATTTCAGTCTCTTGGATATGTTCTAGGGGATTCTCAGAGATCTGGAGAAAAGCTGAATTTTGTTCAATAGAGTCTGCAAATCACAGAATAATTATTGCTGGAAAAGCCCTCCAAGGTGACCAAGTCCAACCTCCAGCCTGAAGCTGTGTGTTCATGTGCCCTTTTAGTCCCTAAACTACAAACACTACCAAAAGTCACATTTTATACACCCCAAATGAGGAAATTTGTCCAATTTTGCTTCAGAGGGATTGAAGAATTTGCAGACTGGCAGCTGCAAATTAGGAATTTACCACAGAACACTTGAAAACAATGATTTCATTCACTCGGGGTGTGCATCCAGCACTGTAATTTGATGTTTACTCTACAGGCTCAGGGAGCTCTTGCCAGGGAGCCTCAGCATCATAAAACCACTGGAGTCAGGAGCAGAAATAAATAAATAAAACAGAATAAAAATGCAGCTTTCAAATGGTTTGGAGAGGAGGACAAGGAAGATTTCACACTTGGAATTAGAGGGGAGGCAGAGCTCTCCTCCCTCCTGCTTTATGGGGGGTTTTAATGGGGTCACACCGGCCCCAGTGAATGGTGGGTGGCTCCCAGGAAGCTCTGTCAGCTCAACATTTTGGAAAAGAACACTCCTGAGAAACTTTCTGAGGTCACCTCGAGGCAAGCAGCCCCTGTGGGGTGTGTGTTAGAGAGCAGCAGGAGTTCACACACAGCAGCCCTGTGGAAAGAGGATTTACGTTGGGTAAATGGTAAAAAAACCCACAGAAAATAATAAAATAAAATAAAAAAAGCTGGGAATTCTTGTTTAGCTCTGTCTTGCTGCTTGTTCTGCTTTTACCTCCTTGTATGGTAAATGAGATCAGGCCAAAGAAAAATGGTAGCAATTCTTTTGTGTTGAAGAAAATGATCTGTGATTTTTGCTCAGTTTGGAAGCAATCTTTTAGGAGGTATTCAAATGATTATTTATAACTGCAAGACTTTTCAAAACCTACCTTCCTCTCAGCTAGATACTGCCTCCTCTGCTGAGACAGGAATATACACTCCCAGTCCCTGGAAATGTGGGATAAAACATCTCAGCCGAACCATTGAACATGATATCTGTTCTGATCTCCTGGCAGGAAACCCACTCACAAAATTCTGCATCAGCGATGGCAAGTAAAACATCAAGTTCCAGAAAATATAAATATGTGATGGGGACAGCTTCCCCAGTCAGGTGGGTAGTGAGATTTCCACGGGAAGGAGTGACAGAAAGAGACATTTTTCATCTCAAAACTGCCTGGGTTTAACAAGCACCAGCTGGACCCCCACATCATGTCCCAGGAGGTTTTTTCTGGGGGAGCAAGTGCCACACAGCTCTTCTCCCCCTTGCTTTGTTTGCCTTCCTATTTTGCTGCAGAATTGATGCAAAAGGAGCGGCAGTGAAGGAGGCAGGATGCAATTCCAGGCAATTACAGATCTCACAATACATGAAAGGAACAAAATTTCCTGCCTTGATTGTGAGGCCCTTCGGCTGGATATGAATCTCCAATGACACCTCTGGGAGCAGCACACTAGATTATGTCAAGCATTAAGGGAAAAAAAATTAGATTCATGATGTCTGTCCAGGCTGAGTCATTTCCTCTCACTTCGCCTGCAGTGAGAAATTGGTGGTTATCATAAATCATGGACCTAAATTCTTATGAGAGAAGAATTAATTTCACTAATGGAAACCCTCTGTGGCAATGCATTCCTCCATTCTCCCTCTTTCTGGGGGGTGTGGGGGAGTATTTATGACTTTTTCAAGCAGAGGTATTTAACTATATTTTAAGAATTCCATAATAGAGGTTTGGAAAGGAAACTTCAAAAGGTAATGGGGAGGGAAAAAAAAAATCTTGTGTGTGACCAGCTCCTAATTTCTGAGGCTGGCCCTTAGTCCAGCTCCTATCATGGCTATAACTTTGCAGCTCACACCAAATCCAGGTACATTTTTTTTTTTTTTTCTTTTTCATCTCAGTAACTAACAAAACCCCACAAAACTGTACCAAACAATTCTTTGTAGGCACCTTGAAGTCTGGAGTGCTCTATGTGAGCTGACAAGAGGGAGCACAGACTGGGGGGGTAACTGGAAGCACTCCTGGCTCACCCCTTGTATTTTACATTATTTTTCTCAGTGGAAGCCCCAGTGAAGAATTCAGTGCCTGAAGTGCTTTGCAAACTGTCAGGAATGAGAACAGAAATGAGAACAGAACAGCTCCTGCCTTTTTCAGAACACGACTGAGGAGATATCAGGCTGTACCTTGGAAAATCCTGCCCTGCTGAGCTCCCTGATCAAAGTCAGGATGGCAGCGGGGCTGGGGGATGTTCTGCTCTCACTGACACCTTGGCCAGGTTTCCAGAGAGCCCAGGCTGCTCCACGTTCCCTGTCTGCACTCAAGCACATCTGAGTCCAGCTGTTTTTCAGTGCAGGACACATTAAAAGCCCACGAAAAGACTTTGAAGAGCTAAAGCTGAGCTGCTTCTGAAACTACACCAGTGAAAGGTATGGACTGAGAAGCAGAGTGAGAAGTCCCTCCTGTGTGTATTTTAGATATTTGGCTGTTAAAAAAGGAGTGTCAGTCAAATCCTTTCTCCTGATGGAGCAGCAGCCTCGACAAACAAACATCTGAGGCTGCAGCACAGTTCAGCTCTGCTGCACAGAGAATGGGGAGCTCAGCTAAAGAGGAGTAAGGACAGAGAAAACTCTTGCATTTGGGATTTGAAAGGCTTTTTGTCCCAGCTTTTTGAGCAGTTTTGGGGGCTGATCTAGCTCTCACAGCCTCATCCCCAGCTGCTCTTCAGGAACCAGCATCCTCCAGCAGGCTGAGCTTTCACCAAGCCATGCTGCTTTCCCCTTAAATCTGAAATGCCCTGGATAAAAGGTTTGGGAACAAGCAGTAGGGCTATTTATAACTCTTCACATATCCAGAGTCAGAATTCCTGTGGTGCTTGCTACATCCCACCAAATCACAGCCCATATCTGATGGAAAGGGCCCTGCTCCTGTGGTTGATCTCAATGAGGTCTGGTCAGGCTCTTATTTAGCAGCAAAGTGCTCTCAGATCATTCAGTCCTGATGCTGTGGAAGTGAAAAATGTGGACTATTCTAAAGGAAGGAAACAAATCAAATGTGTTTTAAGATCCTTTTGAAGGAACAGAAAAAAAAGTCCAAACTAGAGAAAATAAGAAAAGAGCAATAAATCCTCCCAAAGCAAAGAGTTTCTGTCACTGGGTGAGAGCTGCTGATTTTGCAGGCTCTAAGAAAGCTGGTTCTGGATCTGCCCAAGCTGCCTGTACACATAAGTGCTTACTCCCACCCAATTATTTAACACCCAATTATTTATTATTATTCTCCAAACACCCAATAATTTATTATTATTATCCAAACACCCAGTGATTTATGTTGTCCCAGTCAATGGCAAATGCCAAAGCCATCAATGAACTGCAGGGGTAACTTACCAGCACAGTTTGTGAAAGCATTTAAGAGATGGCAAACTCAGAATTCAGGCTGTGCTTCATTTCAAATGTACACAATTTACTGCTCCAGAGCAGCTCTGCTTGTATGCAAACATTTATTATGAGAACTCTCTGAACTTCGGAGAGTAGAAGATATGGACATAGTGTTTGCATGCTCTATTACCTTTCAATTATTTTTATAGGAGTTTTAGGAGGCATTATGCAACATTTCGAAGCAGTTCTGAGCATAATTCAGTGACAAAACACACCTGTAAGTTATGGCTACAAAGCATCCTTGCTGATAGCTGTAGCATCAATTATCTCACTTTATGCTTCATAAAATTGCCACCCCCCCAAGACATAATTAACTTAATTAGGTCCTATCACCATAATGATACACTCTTAGCATATTAACTAACATTTTCCTCATGGATCCAGCCTGCACCTATGTCGTTATTGGACACCAAATGAGTACACAGAAATTTGGTAAGTTTAAAAGAGAAAAGGACCCAGTTTTATTCAAACATCTGGTATTTATAGAATTCTGAAGGTGACCATGGATTGGAGGATGGAATTACCACCTCCAACCACACTGGTCCAAAGATCAATCAATCATTTCTCTCTGCCCACAGAGAAATATGTAAACTATTCTATTTATCCATGAAATTGTGTGGGAATTCTGACTCTCAAATATGTAAATATTTGAAGTTTTATGAGAATTTTAAAACTTTCAAAAGAACTATAAAATAAAATTTAACACTTTTAAAAATCGAAGCAACACACCTATACAAAGCCCACACCTCAATCCACGTCCCTTCCATTTTCGCACAACACATTCTCGCAACAAACTCGACATTTTTTGTTGGGACAGCTTTTTCCTTCCAGCAATCAGGCAGTGCCACCAAGACAAACAGCTCTGTAGGAATTCCTGTTTTCCCTGCACAGCACTCTCCTTCAGTAACACAGGCTGGCACATTTTTAAAAAGACACTCAATCCTGTAACTCTATCTTTGTTGTCAAAGCATGTCAAGCAATGACTACAGGTTCGTGTCTCCTTGCACCCTCCTACCTTTCAGACATGTCTGGCTGCTGCATAAAATCCTCACATCTTGCTCAGGGCTATTTGTCTACAGGCAGAGCTGATCTTCCACCTCTGGCCCTGCACAGGGAGGGAGTTCCAGAGGCTCTGGAGAGGGGAACCTGCCGGGATCCTGGTGCTGGCTGGATGGATTCCCTGTCTCCAAGGGAACGCTGTCACCTTAGGAGCTTTTGTTACCAACCTCTTAAGCACACCAAACAAATTCCTGGGCTGATCCAGCTGGTATCAGTGAACTGTTTTTCCAGAAGGTGCCTAAAGATAGGTTGGTGATACCTGTAGCAAGATACGTGATCATCCAGCTGAATCTCTGCTCGCTCTGCTTCACTTTCACCAATTCCTTTCCCGGTTTTGCCCACTTGAAGTTCGTATTTTTGTTGCCTAAAAGATCTCCTGCTTTATTAATGGCTTGTTAAATGCCTTATTGATGTATCTGTTGGATGAAAATACTTAAAGAGGCTCAGGCTTTATGTAATGTTCAGGAAAGTTCTTCACGAGCACCTCTTTGCACGGTTGGGTGTTCTTGCCTCACTTGAAGGTGCTCATTTTAGGAAATCTCCCAGGCTTCCTTCTTCAGGTTTGAAGAGAATGAAAACAACAGAGATTCTTCTCTTGGTGGGAACCAACAGGCCAGGTTTGTGTCTGTTTTTATGCTACATTTTTCCTAAAACATTCAAGCTGTAGGCACCGATTATCAGCCCAGTGAATTATTCCCTTCAAAACGCATTTGATTTTTGTTTGCTCACCCCAACAAAGTGCAGGTGCTGGCAGGGTTCCAGGGTGGAATTGCAGCAGCCCAGAATGGCTCTGGGCACTGGGTAGTCCCTGCTGTTGTTCACAGATGGTTTTTAAACTCCAACAGGGGTGATGGGACCCAGGTTTTAGGGGAAGGTTACAATGGAGCTGGAAATTGTGCCCTGTTGATCTGTGACTGCCAAACTGCAGGCACAGCCCCTTCCTCACTTGAGCTCCTGGGCTCTGTCCTAAAAATAAAAAGGATAAATAGATTAAAATCAATGTGGAAAAAGTACACAATCCCCTCTGCCCTGGGATATTCAATTGGAAATGCCATATAGTCAAAACCTCTGTGGTTTATACTTCTACCTTTCAGCTTCTTGACAGAAAAATTACTCCTTATCCTTGTTTCCTTTCACATTTCTCTTTTCTCTTTTAGGTCATTGCAAAGGCTGATCATTATAAGGTCTTCCTGTACAGAAAGTTCTGTGCTTTCCCCAATGGGCTTTGGAGCTGAAGGCTCCAAAACCTGCTCTTAGAAATTCTGCTGGCAAATTTCACCATGCCAGCAAAGCAGAAGGGAATAATGGCAATTAGAGAATTTCAGCTCCATGCACAGGCATTCCGTGGCTCCAAATGTTGAATTGACAGATCGTTAGTGAAATTTAACAAAGCAGTCATTCCACACAGGTTTCACTAAAACTTTATGTGCTGAGAACTGAGTTTATTATGGGGTGATGAGGACAGGGTATTAAGAGATTCATCAGGTCACTTGAGCGAATCATTCCTCTGTCTGCTAAGGATAAAGAAATTAATATCTAAATCAAAACAAAATTGTAATTTGGGGCCTTTCTACTTACTGTTTTCCCCCTGTCTATAAAATGAAAGGTATTGGTCCCCATCACAGCCTAATGGGCTTCAGATCTTTTATGGCAAATGCATTCCTCATAAAGCCCATGAAAAATTATCTCTGTGCTATTTCAGAGGAACGACATATTTTACATGGTGTCGGCCTTTCCATTATAAACACTATTTTTCAGATCTTTACAGCCTGCCCATAAAAATCTGCTTCTGACAAGAAATTCAGCAGTGTGACTCTGCTCTGCAAGAAAGAAATCTTTTTTTTCCCACTTTATCTAATTTTGACCAGTAGTTTTGTCTTTGAATTGGGTAAACACAGGGTGGGCATCGGTCTCAACCCTGTGTCTCTCACATCTTTTTTTGTCCTGTTGGATTCTTCTCTGCATGTTCATTAAATTTGTAGGAACTGGGCAGAATTCAGCTCATCCTGAGGTCTGATTAATGACAAAAACAATCCCAATTATTCTTACTGCTGTGAGAGGCTCTGTTGTTCCGGGCACCAGAGAAAGTCAGGAAAACAGAATTTGCTCCAGAGGTTTGGCGCTTTAATTAAACAGAGCAGACAGACAAAGAGTAGGAAGAAAGGAAATAATATTATCCCTCCTCCTTTTATGCAGAAATAACTGAGATGCTCAGACCATGAAATCCTGGCACTGTGGGAGCAGAAATGCTGTTCCTGTGCCCAGGGTCAGCATTCACACAGGATTCCCAGCCACTGACTGGATGAACAGTCTGGCTCTAAAGTCTGCATTTACTGCCTGACTTTCTGAGCTGACATTTTGTTCATCGTCATTAAAGAATACTTAAAAGTAATTTCTCTTTTATAACACTTTTCTGATTCAGGGATAAATCAGTTTGTTGACATAATTTTATGTTCTTTATGTAAAACCCTTTTTTTTTTTGGGGTGCTAACTTGATGCAAATTGGTGATATCAAACCATTAAGGTTGATACCACCAGTAAAATCAGACCAAAACACATAACAACACTTCAGCACCAGCAGAAAGTTAACTTTTATTGATCTTACCTGGTTTGGACATATCCAGGAATCCAGGGCATTCATGTTGGATGAGTCAGCCAGAAAGAGGGAATTTCTTGGGGTGTTTCAGTGGTGTGCTGTGCGTGGCCCTGGAAAAGGAGCACACTTTAGTGCCCAAATGCTCTCAGCTGGCTGAGGCAGAGGCACCTCACTCAAACGAACTGGTTATTTTGCTGAGTTACCCAGGCAACACTTTCCTTTCTGTGCTGCCCATCCAGGATTCCAGGAAAGGATCTGGAGAGCATTCCCAAGGAAAAGCCAAGGACAACAGAATAAAGCCTTGGACAGGAGGAGAGCAGAGTTAGTGAAACATTTCCTCAGGGTCACCAGACTAAAAGGAATCAACAGCTAGCTGCATAAATAATTGAAGTGAAAACTATATATGTCTGCTTTTCTGAGGTGTTGCAAACCCATGGATTCCAAGAGGGTTGGAGGGGCTGTAACCAAGCAACAGGGACTGAAATTTGTTCTCTCTTCTGGAAAAACAATGGGCTTGCAAGTCATAATGACAATGCCTGGCACTGAAGAGCGAGCCCTTCCTTGATTTAATAGTCTTTGGATGAAGTTATAAGAAAAGATGATCATTAAATGAGGAAAGCATTTCTATTTGGTTTAGGAGAGGCCTATTCCAGTAACAAATCTGCCTTTTTCTAAAAAAAAATGAAGGTCAACAATTTCTGGATGAATCTGATGCTGAGGAAAGACTGCAAATAAGTAACATTTCAAGATTTTCTTTCTCAAAACTTTATTTTCAAAAGAAATAATGGACATAACTCACTGCCTCTTCATTTTCCTGTATGAAAGAGAAATCATAATTGTATCCCAAGTGGAGTCAGTGGCACGCAACACTCCTGGCTGATGATTTCTCCCATTATTTACCTCACTGAAATGAGGTATATTTTCCCTTTTTCCTTAAAACATGGCTTTTGTATTGAATTAAGTCGTTGCGTCCCAAACCCACATAAGATCCTCGTAGCCCTCAGGAGCAGAGGAATTCATCTGGAGCAGAACCAAACCCAAAGTGTGAATGTGGAAAGCCCCAGAGGGACCTGCCAGGTCTCCCCAAAGAGAATGAAGCTCACACAGGTCTAGGGCTCACTGGAGCTCAGGGACAAAGTTCCACCCATTTCCAGGAGCCTCCTGCCACTCTCCACTCCCCCAGCTGCCATTCCTGTCTAACCCTCAGCATTTAAAACATCCTACCCAAAGCTGCCAGAACAAACACATCTGATGGAACCACCCAGGGCCAGTCTCATTTCCTCCACCCACATCTTTGTCATGGATGTCATGTTTCATCTTTTCACCAGTTAATTGTTAATAATTCCCCATGGAGTACAAGATTCATTAAGTGCTTCCTAATTTATCAAACGTAAGTCTCATCAGGTAATTTTAATCACATGAAAATCATTTTAAATTCATTTTGATAGACAATTTCCTCTTGCAGCCTATGCCTCCTTTCCCCCTGTGTCATGGGAAGCAGCAGCTCTGGTTATTCTCCTCTAACTTCCACCATTGCAGATGCCATTGCACTTCCATCCTATTCTTGTATTTATTTGAAACTGCTGCCAGCTGCTAAAGAGTTATGTTTCCTTTTATTTTTTTTTAATTGATTACCTGAAATGTATTGAAAAAATTGCTTTATTTCATCCATCAAACCCCTGCCTTCCAGAAAATCAGATCTTGCAAATGTGGGAATACTTGGGAGCCACCAGAGCACTTCTTTATTAAAGTGGCCTTGCCAGGTTGTCACAGATGAGATATTTGAGACAAATAGACAAAATCTCTTTAAGTATGGGATGGGAAAATTATTGTATTGCTGGGCCAAGGTGGTAAAGAGTACCCAACTCCACAGGAGCTTAGAAAGGAGGGAAAGGACAGGAAAACATGGAAAAACAATGCAGTTGAATGACAAACATAACTCAGTTGTTTAAAATTAAAAGCTCCCTGTCCCCATTCCGATCAAAGAAGGAACTGAGAACCCTGAATGTGTATTTAGAGGTAGAACTTGTTCCTGACATCTCCCATTTTTTTATCCCTATTATTTCCCTTAGTCTTATTGCCAAAAAAAAATTAAGTTTGAATGAATGCCTGGTTATTCACTGCCTGCGAGGATAACAAAGATTTTCTCTAGCTGAAAGCAGCAAGCAGGGCCTCCTGTGATCATGGGGAAAAGAGGAGAGGAGCATGATGAGAAGAATCAAGTGTTTTTATTGAAGGTGTTGTGTTCATGCAGCTTTTGTCAGGAAATCCAACTAATTTACTCCCACCTGCTTTCATTTTGAGCAAATGGCAGCCTTGTGCTACATAAAAAAAGAATGAGCCTTGCTTCTCTCCAGTGCTCCTGTCCTGGGCAGGAGACAGGCACGCTGTAGCTGTCCCCAGCTGCTGCATTTAGAGTTA